GGCAAGTTTTATCAGGCTATTGGTGCAGGCAACGTTGATGAAAGTTGGCGTATCTTGTCCGATGTTGCCGAAAAATGCCTTGCCACCCCGTGCTGCGAAGCCTTTTTGCGCAGTCAGCCTTGGCAGCCGGTTGTTGCCAAGTTGGCCCAAGGCGAAAGTGTTTTTGGTTCGGCTGCCACCAAAGTGCTCCGCAAACTGCAGTGCCAACTTGTGCAACTTGCTAGGCAGGAGGATCCAAGGCTTCGCCAAAAAATTTGTCGTTCTCTTGCCAGGGCTCGTCATCTTGTTCCTAATCTTCCTTGGGTGTCTGACTGGGATCTGCTTTCCTTAAGAGAGGCGGTTGATTACCTTCTTGACCACCATCAAAGGCAAGAAACCGAAGCCATTCGAGACCAATGGAAGCAGATGCTCCGGGACGATGTGGCCCGACAGCGATCTTTTGTCAAGTCTCGTGCCGATGCACAGCTCGAGCACGAAAAAGGTGCCTTTCTTGACGAAGCCGCGTGTGCTGCTGGACCGGTTCACCCGTCTGAGGTCGTACGGTCGCAAGCTAAGGAGTGGACCAAGTTGTGGGCTGCACCGCCCAATCCAGACTTCAATGCCATCGATGCGGTCCTTAGCAAAGTTCCGTGTGTTCCTGCATGCGACATTTCGCTGAGTTTCGATCCCGCCTCCTTAAAAGCACTGGCGGCCTCCTTGACCAATAAAGCCCCTGGACCCGACTCTTGGAAAGCCTCTGATCTTTGCCGAATGCCACTTGCTTGGTGGAGCCTGGTTTCAGTTTTGTGGCAACATGTCTGGGACCATGGCAATGTCCCCCGGCTCTGGCGCTTTGCAAAAATTGCTCTTATTCGTAAACGAGGGGGCCCCAAAACACGCCCAATAACCTTGACACAGCTCATTTGGCGCATCGGCGCCAAGCACATCGCTCGTGCGCTTCGCCAGTGGGCTTCTACGTGGGCTTCTGAGTGCGATCACGGCGGCCTCCCGGGCCGGTCTCCGGCTGGCATTTTCTTTCAAGTGCACGCCGCACTCAAGCGTGGGGTTGACACTGCAGCTTTGATGGACATTGCAGGATACTTTGATAGTATGTCTGTTCCTGCCATGGGCAGGGTCTTTGCAAAGTTGGGTGCACCGCCCCAGTTGTCGTGCCTCCTAACATCCTTTTATGACAGTGCTTTTCGGTATTTTAGCTTCGAGGGATCATACGACCCCAACTGTCACTTGGTCCAATCGGGGTTCGGTCAGGGCTGCCCGCTCTCTCCAATTGCCGCTGCGGCACTTTCGCATTGCTGGTGCGAGTATGTGCGAGCCTCCTGTGACAACATTGGCACCCAGATTTTCATGGACGACCGGACCTTATGGGTTGAGCCCTCGGGAAATCTTCAGTGTCTCGATCATGCTATTGCTGCTAGCAACCAATTTGATCGTGCGTTTTCACTTAAACTTTCCTTGGATAAATGTTTTATCGCTGCCAGTGATCATGACGCACCTTCTCGGCAGTTGGCAACAAAGTTCGGTTTTAAAACTTGTAATTCCCTGGACCTGCTCGGGATCTCACTGCCCTTTTCGGGGTTGGGTGGCCTCCCGAAATTTTCCCTTCGCAAAGCAGTGCTTCGACTTCGCTTGCTACGTTGGACACAGGCCTCCACTGCTGCTCGTAGAATGCTGGTTCAGTCTTTAGTTGTACCTTGCTTGACGTGGGCTGCGGGCTTTGCTAGGCCAACTAGAGAGGACATCGATGCGATCCGGGCTGAGGTCCGTTATCTCTTTAGTACCGGCCACGGTGGTGACACGGCCACTGTGGCTTTCTTTGATTTATTGGGATGGGGTCTTGAGCCCGACTTCGCACTCGACCTCGGCACCTGCAGAACATTGTGGCGATGGGCTTCGCATCCGCCGAGTTGGTTGGAAAATCTTCCCATCAGCTTCCTGCCTGCCCGTTGGCACGCCCAGCTGCCTGAGGTTGAAGCTTTGTTTGCACGCACAGGTTGGTGGTTTGACGACGGTGCAACTAAGATTTGTAGGAGGGATGCCCAAGGTGCTCTTAGGTCCGTCCAAGCCGGTTTTGAGCGCTTCTCTACCTTGCAAAGGTGGCTGGAGGATCACTACCGAGCCAGATACCTCTCACGGTGTCGGCGAGTGACCACCAGCATGCACCGGGGCGGCGATGACGGCCTTGCTACAGGTCTTGCCTTGGGCCCTCCGCCCGCCGATTACCGCATCGCGATGCAAGGTCACAAAGCCGCCCTTCGCGAGAACTTGTGTTCATACACCAAGAGGGCCTCCTTCTTGTCGGGTGGCACCACCTGGTTCTTTAATGCTGCTGCGCCTTCGGGTTTAACTCGGAAGCGAACTTCTTGCTTGTGCGGAGCGTTGCTGCCCAGCCGGGCACACCTCTTGTGGGTTTGTCCGTCCACTCGTGACCTCAGGCAAGGGCTTACTCTGCCGGGGCATCGTGGAGAGGAGCGTCTCCTTGCAAAACACCTTCGTGAAATACCACCGGCCCCGCCGGCGATCGATCACGAGGGGCTGATTCAAGAATCTGCTGAAGCAATCTCCTCTGCACTCCACAGAAAGTCTCACATCATTCTTGCGACTGATGGCTCGGCCAAAAGTGGTGTTGCGGGGTACGCGGTCGTGGTTGATCACCCTGAGGTGCACTTCGCTGGGGGAGATGGATCCGAAGACCAAAGCCCCTTTCGGGCCGAAGTCTGCGCTCTACATCTGGCTCTAAAAAGCATTCTTGTGTGCTGCGGGGCTCGTTTCAGTTGCAGTTGACTGCACGGCGGCCTTACAGGCTGTGCACCACTGCCCTTCAATGCCCCTGTTCAGCGATACCATTGCCTCGCTTCTCCGTGAAATTAGGACCACGCAAGTCGGTGTCAAACTGTTGTGGGTGCCCTCTCACGGCAAACATCCGTCGTGGCAACCTGATGACAACGATCTTGATGCTGCTGCTGTGCGCCTGCTGAACGACGCTGCCGATGCAGCTGCCAAAGCTTGTGTTGAGCGCAGACTCCGTGGTTCCCTTCGGCTTCAGTGGGCTCAGGACGCCAGCGCTGCGAAGAGGTGGGAACTCCAAGCTGTTAGAGCGTCTGCTAAAACGGCCGAGAGGCTTCACCATCATCTCCAATCTCTGGCCCCTCCCACGTGAAAGGGCTGTCACTGATGCACTGTGACGACACCTGGAACATTCCTTGTGTACGAACACCTTGAAAACTTTCGAACCCTCCCTCGGGAGGTCCGTCCTTGACTGCCTGTTGCACCTGGCCTCCCCCACGGGGCCTAGGCTAGGGTTTAGTCCTGGTTTTCCCACCCGCTTGCGCTTGCGGTACTACCTCCGGCTCCCGGCCTGTGGTGAGTACTGCCTGAGTACTTGAACGGGCTGCAAGACCGACCTTGACAAGGCGGCTGCCGCTCCTGGTGGGTGAGGCTCTCTTCTACGCTGGCTCGCCGTGCTGCTGTGGCCTGGGCTGCGCTGGGCTGCTGCGCTGCGCGCTGCTGACGCGGACCCCTGAGCTTCTACGACGTCGTGAAACCTGAACGTTCGCTATGTACAGTCTTCAAGTTTGGGGCATCTGCCCGTGTCTTTACTTAGTCTCTGTACTTCTGAGTAAAGCTGTTTTGAGACGGAGCTGCACTTGTGCTTTTGGCTCCTGGTAGGTCTGTAAGTGCCTGATACCTGCATCTGTATAGTTCTGTCCGACTTGGCTCCTGGCTTCTTGCCAGCTTCCTGGGAGGCTCTTGTACACTTCAAGCCTCCGGTCGTTGACATAGTCAGCTTTTCACTCGAGTGCCAGACCCCGCGAAGGACTTCGGCTACCGCTGGGCTTGCACCTCTAGAGTAAACCTGAGCGTTTGTGGTACAGCACGCTTGCTCTTGTTTCGACTTGTGACCTCTGACACGTCGTCTTTGCTTGCAAGGGCGGCGCGAGAACCCAACAAGTAAAAAGAAGCGCTACTGAAGAAGGCTATGACGACGAAGTTCCCATCGACCTTGGTGTTGATGGAGCTAGCAGAGGAACTCTCCGCTAAGAACTGTGAGCTTCAGCTACAGTGGATCCGCAGGGATCTGAACCAGCTAGCGGACGACCTCACGAACGAGAACTTCGCTAGTTTCTCCCCGGACTTCAGGGTGAACCTGGAGGGGGAGAAGCTAGAGTGGCGCGTGCTGGGCCGTCTCCTCGAACACTCGGCTAGCTACTTCCAAGAGCTAGGAGTGGGGAAAAGGACCGGAGAGCCGAAGGCTCCGAGGTTCGCTAAGAAGGCCCGTAAGCTAGGTCCCTGGTAGCCCTACGGCTGCGCAAGGAGATTAGCTAGCCAAAGGCTAGAGTTCTTCTCCGGGCTAACGCGGGACTTCGCCACAACGCTAAAAAGAGAGAAGGTCGTGTTGTCCGTGCTACTGCGTGAAGCCAGCTAGCTTAAGCTAGGCTTGCTACGTACTCCCCGGAGGTGTAGAGGGCGGTGGCGGGAGGATCCGCTAGCTAGTGTACGCACTCGTGCCGAGGGACGAGGTACGACAGTGTATGCTAGCGCCAGTATCCCTTTGGGAAACATCGAAGGTGTTTCGCTAGAAAACGTCGAAGGGGTTTTCCTCTGAAGCTAAACAGAACGAAGCTTGTCTGTTTGCTAGAGTGTCTGCACATGGCCGGTGAAGCTGTGCTACTCCGTGGCCATTGTGCTGAAAGGCCCCCAGCTATTGGGGGGCAAATTTCGAGTGCCCACCCAACCCACCCTGGGGATTAGCTAGCCAAAGGCTAGAGTTCTTCTCCGGGCTAACGCGGGACTTCGCCACAACGCTAAAAAGAGAGAAGTTCGTGTTGTCCGTGCTACTGCGTGAAGCCAGTTAGCTTAAGCTAGGCTTGCTACGTACTCCCCGGAGGTGTAGAGGGAGGTGGCGGGAGGATACGCTAGCTAGTGTACAGGCCCTGAGTTGGGAGGTAGACGCCCTTGGTAGTTCAGTGTCGTCTGCAGAGTTCTGCGTTCCTTGGCAGGAGATGCGACCTGAGTTCGATCTGCCCGGGGATCTGCTGGTGATGCCCTTCACCAACGTCCTCGACCTCAAGAGGGATCAAGCAGCAGAGGCTTCCAAAACACATGATGCTGTCAAGTCAATCAGTTGAGAATGAAGTTTCTTCTTTGCAGGCGGCCAACGCACTCGTCCTGCGGTTGAAGGTTCTGCGGATGCTCTTGCATGCGGTGAATAGGTCCCCAGTTAGTAGTCTTTTAATTTTATATTTATTATTATTAAGTCAATGTTAATAATAACTTGAACTATCTACAGTTAGGCTTGCACGGGAACTCAGGTGAAGCAAACCGTGGAGGCAACCAGCGATCCCTTGCAGGTGAAGTTCTACAATGCCTTGCAGACCTGCCAGGATCCCTTTGCCTGGGGCCACCAAGAGTGGAGCATCATCGGGGAGATGTCGTCCTCGTGCTCTGCGCCCTCGTCCTCGTCCTCGTCCTGTGCCTCGATGGTGAAGACGATCAACGCGATCCAAGCAGGGGTCCACGACTCAAGCTTCTTCAAGGCGGTGCAGAGCTCTGCCAGGGAAGAGCATCCCGAAGTCCGGGCTCTGGTGTCAGGCTGCCTGGACAGTTGGCGCATGACCTCGTCCTCGCAGGCCCCAGAGCCGGCAGTCGAGAGCCAGGACGGCGTCGAGGAGGACAGCTACGTCGACGTCACCGCGGAGATGATTCCGACGCTGGCCACGGAGTCGGACTCCGAGAAAAGGAGAAGACTAGCCATCTCCGCGGCCAAGGCTGGCAGGTTAAAGTTAAGTTGCTTTCATTGTAACTGTTCAGTCCAAAATAAAAATGTAGTCCTTATTATATTAAATGATGTCTTGCAGGAGGAGATGGCCTTCTACTTGCAGGCCCTCGTCTTCGACCTCGATCAGCCCTCGTCCAAAAAGGGACTTGTGGAGGCACTGTCTGGCAACACTTTCTTGAAAGTGTCAGACGGCGCCAAGAAGACATGAACGGCCTGGATGTATGACAGCGCTCTTTTTACAGAGCCCTCTGGAGTGTATTGCAAGCTCCACAACCCGTACACCAAAATGCCGGTGTGACTTGTATGATTGAGTGTGCTTGGGTTTAGTACCAGTACTAGTTCAGTACTACTACGGCGAATTGCTACTTAGCTACTTCGAACGACACAGCGTTACAAATTTTAAGTTTGCGGACAGGTGTGGCTCAGACAAAGGGGATGGTGACTGATGCTATTCACAGCCAGCGTGAAATTGTATTTGTTGCAGACGGTTAAGTTCATTATTGTATCAGTTGATCACTCACCAAGCCTAGGTTCAACAAGGCGGCCTGGTCGATCTTTGTCGAGTGCTTCGACGCCCTCGCCAACACAGAGGAGCTTAGAAACTCTAAACCATACAGTACAACTCCTAGACCTTATTAAACTCCAGACTCACGCCGCTGGATTCTCACAGTCACAAGTTCACTGTTGGTTTTCAGGACGTCCTCGTCACCTTTGTGCCGGACGACAGCAAGAGGGCGATGACTGAGGTGAGGCGCTCCATGGGCAACATCGGCCTCGGACAGCAGCAGATCCTTTTGCTTCCAGACCAAGCGTCGTTGCAAAGGAGACGGGATTTCAAGATGGTGCGCCAGTGACTCGTTTGATTTAAACTACTATTAGAAGTTAACAAGCCTGAATTTTAAGAGTCGAATACATTATTTACGTTTGGTAACAGTACTATGTCTGGGATAAGATAGTAATTAAATTACTTGTATTGTTCAATCTCCGACCGACAATCTGGTACTGTTGCTAGTCTTTCTTCTTACTCACTTGCTGACTTACTCACTACTTGTCTACTTCCACGTCTGCTTCCACTTCTACTTCGTCTTCTACTGACTACTACTAACTACTAACTACTCACTACTACCACTACTACTACTACTACTACTACTACTACTACACTAGTACTACTACTACTACTACTACTACTACTACTACTACTACTACTACTACTACTACTACTACTACTACTACTACTAGTACTACTAGTACTACTACTACCTACTACTACTACTACGACTACTACTACTAC